AAACAGACACAGAATGACAGCTAGTAAAGCATGGTGTTTAACGGTCAGAGATGAGACCCTCCTGTCACTGACTGCAGAACAAAAGCCAATTCAAGCAAGGTAAAGACTGGGATTATTCTGTAAGGTCAATAGAACAAACCACAAGCCTGACTAATAGTACCACACCGTTATATAATATTATGTCCTCTTTAAGAGGCTGTGTAGTGTGTGTTGTCAAATCAGATGTTTTTTTTATTGTAACATTGCTGTGGAAAAAAGCAAGGTTTCGAGCAGAAGCTTTGTTGTCTGTAGTGGGCATACACACTTCAACAAATACTCAAAAAGAGGCAGGCAAAAAAAAAAACATCACTCTGGTTTAAAACGTGTTCAGTCTTGCATGCTCCCTGTAGACTGCCATGACCAGCAGCATGTGAAATTCACGTGATGATGACAGAAGGAAGGAAAGAAGAAAGTGTGGTTTAAACTCCCCCAACACATTCCTGTCATGTCACTCTCAGCAGCTGAAACCATAAAACCATAAGTTTCGAATCTGTTTAAATTTCGAATCTCCTAACCTTGCCTACATTTTTTAACAGCAGCTCGAAAACACGGCATGATTCCATGAATATTTAATAAATAGCTGCTCAGTGCAAGAATGTAGTATACTGTACTGCCAGCAGGCATGTTGTTAATGTGTAAACGCTGTCTGATAGTCAGACATTGTCTTGACACAGGCAGTAACCAATCAGCTGTGTTGTGATGATGAAAAAAATGCTTAGGCACTGCCTACAGCCTCTCCCAGTCATCTTTGTGTTACATAATCATTTATCAGTGCACTACCCTTGTCCCTGGATGCATTTTCTGCTTCTTCTGTGGGAAACAGTCTGTTTGTGCAAGCAGATTGCCTAAGGACTATCAAAGAATGCCATGGGATAAATGTGCATGTGTCCATGTTTGAAAACAGGTGTAACAATGTGAGTTTAAGTTCACTGAACTGCAAATGTGACAGAAAAAGAAAATACTTCATACAATGATACACTAGCGTGGCCTTTCACAGGGATAGTATTAAACTTAGCATTCAAAGCAAAACATTAAGGCCCTCTTTAAAAAAAATAGTTTGTTATTAAGCAAAAAGTTCGAACACACTGTAACTGGTTCACTCCTTCACCCTCTTCTCCTTCTGTTAAGTGATTGAGTAATGCCGGCCTCATCTTTGGCTCTCTTCGTGCAGATTTCAAAACTATGCTGGATGGAACACTAAACATGTAGTCGGTTGACCAGTACGCCTCCACATCATTCATGCCCAACCACTGTACAGTTGTAGCCAGAGGGAAAATTCTTCTTCTTGTTGTTCATTTGTTTATTTTGACAGTGCACAACTGCTTAGCTCTATCAGAATCACCTGTGAGCTAATTTACATCTGTAGTCCCCGGGCTGGAGACAGAGTCAACGTCTCAGTTCTAGTTAAGATTCTGTTTGGAGAGGGATATGAGAACTGCCTATGTTGATTATTTTTATCAACAAAAATTCAGAATTTAATGAGCTGTACAGATAAAAAAGGAGCCATGCAAACAAAGTAGGTCAAACAGTTAGCTTTGTGCTCCAGAATTGTCTGGGGATGATTATGTATCTGCCTAAAGTCATTTTTTAGATGTCATACTACAGTTTTAATCACACTGAATGACGCCATTTCTTTGAGGCAATGCTTTGTACTTCTATGAAACTCAACAACAAAAAATACAGCAGGGGTTGTGACAGTAGAGTTCATCAGCTTCTCCATACCTGTTTCTGGGCACGGGGATGTGGTTGGAGGAGAGTGGTTGTCTCTCTGTCAGCGATACGCTCCGCCCCTGTGTTGCCCTGAAGTTGTTGGCCAGCTCTGCCTGTATCCCAGGGTTCCTGATGTCCGAGTAAGTGTAGCCACCTGGCAGCTGCCCGTTTGTGCCTGGGCAATGAGTAGGACTGGCCCTCTTCAGAATCCCAGTAGAACCAGTGTCTCTTTGGTCCCCCATGTCAGTCTAGAGACACATTGGAGTAAATGCATGATTTTTAAGCAAATAATTAGCTTGCTTGCATCTTAAGTACTGTGTGCCTCCTTTACAAGTGTAAAAGATGACTTTGCATATGATTAATAAGACAAACCCTTATGGGAATTCTTTACATGTCAAAAAAAAAAATCACTTTTTTTTTTTATCCCAGTTTTAAGCTTGTTTCTTATTCTGCTATATAAAACAACTAATATACACACATATATATATACGTATGGCATATATATAAAAATATATATGCCATAAGGGACAGAGGTAGGGGAGCTCACTGTTATTTTAATCTGAATGAATGAAAGACTTGCTTGGTATCTAAAACTCTTTAATATCCCAAAATGGAAAAACATCTTTTAAAAAAGGGGAACATTTGAATTTAAGGCTTGGATGAGTTTTTTTTTTTTTTATATATAATTGATTTGCAAGTTATTTAGAAAATAATTGGTTACATTGTGTCAAATAAAACATTTCAATTGATGAAGAAGGGATTTACAACAAATTTTCTTCAGTTTGCAAATTTATTTTAATTTACTGTCAAATGAAGAAAAAGTGGACTTATCCCTATCTTGACTAGTTAGGCTATTTGAGAAAAAAAAACATTTTAAAAAGGGTTCAGGTGTAGGGTTAGGGTATGCTCATTATATAAATAAGTGACAACTTGTTATCAATGCATATTTAATGTTGCAAGGTCAGTTTAATAACTGTGACATGATTCAATTTCTGACCCTGGAAAAAGAAAACATGCATGAGCCACAAACTGCTAGAAAAAAATAAAGAAATGCAGAAACACATGCAGGGCAATACACGATGTGTGGTGTAAAACAGTGTGCTGAAACCCCCCCCCAAAAAAAAAAATATTCAGCACTTCGACACAAACTAATGTGACTGTTTAAGTGTGTGTGAAGCCGGGTCGTGCAGCCCAGGAAGCCCTCTCAAATAGCTCCACCCTGAAGTAATGGGGGAGGGGGGGGGGGGTCTGGCTAGTAGTTTGAAGTCCCTGCCCCACTTTTCTGTAAACTTTGCACACAAAATCAGCCGCCATTAAATGCGGGTTTGATACGACGTTATTACCGTCGAACAAGCGTGTGACAGCAGATGGTTAAATAAGTGGCACTTTAAAAAAAATGAGGTAAAGAGTTGAAAGGCGGTCACGCAGAAACTGTTACAGTTTGTTGCGTTCTTGTGTAAACGTCACAGTCGCATTTTACGACCCTTTAACTTGACCAGTTATCGTAAATAACAGTTTATTATAGTGGCGTAAGCTGCCAGAGGACTTATCATGCAGTCTAATGACAGGTTATCGTTATATTGTTGCTCTATATTGGCTTTAAGTTGAGTGTACAGCTGCTTAACCGGCTAATTACTGCACTTCAACGGCACTTACTTTTTCCACTTCGTGCAATATTCGTCCACCTGGAGAAAGTCCGCTCGCATTAGAAGAGATTCCCTCGCTTTTGACCTCCGTTGCTGAGCCGCCGTCCATTACAAATTTGTAGAGGACGGGCCCGTTTGTGTACGCCGGCATGGGACTGTTTTTCTCAACCGCAGGGACTCGTATGTTGCGGAGCACAGAGAGTCCTGCCCGGTAGTTAAAATCCGAACCACCGACCCTTGTTCCGACCGACGACTTTTCCATAATATATCTTGAATCCATATTTAGACAGGGCGAGTGGAGACTAAAGAAAGAAAACCAGCTTTCTATAGGGTTTAGTGCAAATTGCCGGACTTAGATACATTTATCACGATTGTCGCGAATGATAGGTGTCTGTCTGTGTGTTAACTTCTATCTAATCTACATGTAAGTTTTCCTCTACCCCCGCCGCCGCTACCACCACTACCCAGTATATCCAAAAAGCCGCCCGGTCAGAGGGATAAAAGATTGTTTTGCCTCTTTCCTCCAAAAGAACGACACGCCCCCTCCACTTCATCCCTATTGGTCAGATACGTACATAAACATTACACTTTGGCACGCGTCCATGCTACGGCGGTCTCTGATTGGCTAGTTTCACAGTGTCACTCTTCTTTTTTTTCGCGATCCAAGTAATGTGGGTGGAAGATGGTAGGGGTGTGTCCTACAGTTTACCGGCCGGTGTCTGTCGAGGACGAAGAGCCGGCGAGGCAGAGCAGAGGAAAAACAGCCTGCAGGCCTCAGCCACACACTACGCATTTAGATTTTTGGCTTATCAAGTGGTGCACGAATCCTACTTAAACGAGGGGCTTTAATCGACGAAATGAACTTCTTTAGTTAAATAATTTCTTCCCTTTAAGTTATGAATACCAGTATTTGCTATTTTTATGTATTAGTTGTTTACATGCAATAGTTGTTTTATTATAAAATAGATTTTAAAAAAGAACATAATAGCACAAACCATGCAAGGTGTAGTTTCACAACACTTAACAGAGTGCTGTTGATTTAACTCTCTGATAGTGTGATGTTTTGGTCAATTATTATGGTTAGTTTTTTTTTTGCATAACAGAATGGACACAATAGAGACTCATTGCTTTTTTTTTTTTTTTTTTTTTTACTTGAATTGCACCACAAGATCCACAGTGGTTTTAATTTTTTTTTTTGTGGTGTTCATGTAGCCAGTTAATAAAATATCCTAAAGGTTTAAGGCATAGTGTTAAATATTTTAGTAACCAAACCATATGTTGTTTACTAAGCATCGGAGTGCTTTTTGGTAATGTGGACTTTGTACACGCGATCAAAAAGCTGCTATAAATAAGTGATATATTTACTTTTGTTTTCTGTTTATTTTAGGATACTTTAGATACTGGAATGTCTCTTTATCCAACTTGTTTTAAAATGCCCTGCAGGCCCCAGAAAGTGTGGTCTTCTGTTTAATTCGACACAGCCTTATTGTTTTATTAGAAGCTGCATTTATTGCAAGCAACTTATTACAGTTATTACCCCGAGGCTTCTGTGATACCTAGTTTGATACTCTGAACAAAACAATAAGACTGCAGGCAAATGACAAACACGTTATAATGTGCCACTTTATTAGAAAAGTAAAAACTCACTTTAATATTTTATGAAGGTTAATATAAAACATTACAATCTTTTGCATATCTGCACTGTCACACTATATGTATATATATATTTTTTAACTAAACCCTGTGCTTTAGAACATACAACATTGGCTACAGCTGTCACAGCAATTGGCCCATGGTTATATCTGAAGACAATTAACAAACAGCATCTGTATCTGCATGGAAAGCATGGAACAATTTGCATCCACAAAGTACAATGTGTCTGTGATAACCATCTTTTTTTTTTCAACAAATATACTGTATACTGTATGTTACATTGGAACAACATCAGAACAGCAACAGATTATTTTACACATTTACATTGCCATACTGTATTCGTTTGTGCAATGAACATCTGTCTCAATCAGTGTATGACAGTGTTCAAAAAATATATATATCAGATCAGTGCTTTCTCTCAGGATAAACAAAATGTGACACGTGAAGTGACAGCCAGAGAAAAAGGATTAAGTTTGATAGCGATTCGCAGCCAGCATTGTCTAAGGCAAGCTTCAACAGAGCTTGTTAAGCGTCTCAGCTGTTCACCATTTCTCATATCAGGCAGTTGTTGAGCCGTTGGTGCATTGTTGATATCAGACAGGGGCTGGTCTTACCCACAGCTTCTGCCCCTCCCCAACCACCCCTCAACCCTCATATAACTCCCTGAGTCCCTCAGACTGGACATCAAATCCCCCTCCCCTGCACAGCGAGGGAGAGAAGGGAGGCAGAGAAATGAGAGAGAGGTCTGTGTCTGTTATTGGGGGATGAACACAGCTGGGGGGGGGGGGGTGATCTGCAAGATCTGACTGAGTGAAATGTGTTCCCCTTCCTCAACTGGCTGGAAACACACATAGCTCATTTTGCAGTGTGTGCATGTGCGAGCCAGTGTGTGTGTGTGTGTGTGTGCATTTGTGCATGTGGGCAAGCACGCAAACATGAATTGGAAGGAGGAGGGTCCTTGGAGTCTTTGACCATTTGCAGTGATCTTCATCCAGCTTTATTCTAGCTGTTCTTCTTCCCCCTCCTCACCTCTATCCCTCCTTTTTACTCCCCCCAGAGCGGAGGATAAACAAAGCTCTGTCCTAAACTCCCAGTGGCTTCCCTCAAAATGTTCTATTCTCCCACTTCCTTCTCCAAGTTGAAGCTCTGAAAACAAAACTGAATGCTGCTTTTTGCATCACATGTAAAAAAAAAAAGAAAAAGAAAAAAGCAAGACTGAAAATATTAACAGACAAGAGATCAATTAAGTACCACAATATCTGTTTTCATCTCCATATATCAAAGCATGCACTTTTTTTGATCAAGCAAGAAAAGATTGCACCAACAACAGAAACATATTGTTTTCATGGCAGTGGCATGAGCTATTCAACCAATGGTATTGTCAGTAGGTAAGAAAAAAATAAACAGTGCATTAAAATACAGAGTGCATTTTGTTTTTACATACTTCATGACACAGTAGCATTTATTGATTTATTTTTCTTACTTTTCTAAACCCGTCTTCTCCTTGCATGGTTGTCTCACAGTGAGATCATTATGATGCATCTCTTAGCCTATGAGCAGTGTGCATCCCTCTCCCCCTCTTTTCTTTGTACCCATTTACCAAACCTCTAATTATTTGTTTCCTTCCTCTGTTCTTTTTTTATGTTTCCATAAGCTAAACGGGATAGCCATTGTTTATTATGGAAGAGAGGCTGGGGATGAGGATGGGGAAAGGCGAGGGGCAAACTTCCAAAGGACACTGGCTTGTAATTTACATGTCCGACTCTTTATTTTCTTTAGCGCCAAAACCTTGTGCTGCTATTTCAACCACCAGACTTAAGTCTGGTGAGCTACAGGGAGCTCTGGCTTTTACTTGAGACCAGAGAGCAAATCAGAAGTGTGCTGGGGATTGCCCTTTATAGCATATTAATGCACAATTAAACAGGTCCTGCAGCTGTACAGTGCAAATTCTAATGGTCATTTCACCAGATGTTTGCAGCACCCATAGGACATGGAATATTAAAAACACAGGATGACGCCTCCAGATGCTCTTTCACTTCCTTAATTTTTTTTTAAATATTGTTCTCTCATTTATATATTTATATTAATTTTCTTATATCGTAATAAACTAAAGGTCTCACATTGTGAAATCTCTCACCGGCATCACTCTGTGATATTCTTGCACAACCCACTCACTGCCCCTGACCTGGTCGCTTTTCCCTGCATGACTCTTCTAAGTATGTGTGTGTGTGTGTGTGTGTGGGAGTGCTGGGGTGTGTCATCATGCCTCTGGCTACAGATGTTTGTCAAATCTGAACAAGGATTGTTAACTAATCTCAATTTATGAGAAGTTTAGAACATTGATCTAACCTAGGTCTTCATTAGGGCTGATATTGATAACTGCTAATAAGTTTGGTGCACATTGATGATTATTTCTGAAATAGGAACTTTAGCCTCTGATTACTTCTGAGTTTAAGCAGACCTACATATTCTCGGCCCAATGTTTGAACAAAGCACCACAATGCAGCCTGCCAGGCAACAGGCGAGTGCGCACAGAGAACCTGTTTCAGATGTTTGCCTAGGGAAAGCTAAGCACCGCAAATCTCTGTGACATCCATCTGCTAATATTACATAAGTACCCCAAAGATGAGGCATATATGTGTGAGTGTGTGTGCGAATGTGTGTGTGTGTGTGTATATGGGTGACAAAAGCTGTGTGCCTCACACTCTTCACATACCCAGGATCCTTGCTACTTCAGTTTTTTTTTCAGGTGTATGTTAGCACAATGCATGCACATTTCATCTTTTAAATATATATGAAAGATTGTGAGTTACACCACATACTCTACAAAGAGTACAGTGTTCATATAAAAATAAAGATATTGTGGAAAATGATGCACAAACAGGTGAGTATTGTCAGTGACACAGTAGGTTGCACTGCTTATTCCAGTTTTCTTCTTTTTTAATTTCAAAGATACTTGGTCCAAATTTGGGCTGGACTAGACTTAGGCTGGTTCTGAAGTACAGACCAATGAATTGAAGTCTGAACCTGGATTAAGACCCTGTTAGTACCTGATGTCATCACAAAGTGGATCTCCATGTTGTTTGTCTATGGAGGGTCTGGTAATTATGTACAGCACCCTGTTGGCTTGTTAACAGGAGGGTCCCTTTCATGATTCTGTACCAGTTGGCCCTCTGAGCCAGCTACAGGCCAGTGACGTACATCTCCATCCCGTCATTGAAGGTGAATATGGTGGTGGTGCTGGAGCTGTTGGCCCCTTGTTTCATGTCGCTGATGGTCTCATAGAAGTTTTCCCCACCGGGCAGGCCTTTCACAGGCGGGGCTGGGGGTCCTGAGCCCTGAGGTGCCGCTGGTGCCGCTGCTGCTGCTGCTGCTGCTGCTGCTGCTTCTGTGGCGGTGGCTGCGGCGGTGTCTGCTTCTTCCTCTTCAGTGTGGCATTACCCCCAGTTGTGCTGTTATTGGTTCCCACCTGCTCACGTTTCCGGTGGGGGTCGATTGTTGAGTATGCAGGGTCAGACTCAGCCACCGCACATGTGGACCAGGACCTGTCTCCTACGGGCTCATAGCAGGGCTCCTCCTGGGACCGCGCCTGGCTCTGGACTCCTCGGCCTCGGCCACGGGAACCTCCACCAAAGGAGCGGGGGAGGGTCTTTGCTCCATTGTTTTCCATTGGAGGTTTTTTCTTCTGCGATTTACACACGATGGAGTAGGTGTCTGCAATCTGAGAACACACAGGAGGAGAGTCGGTGTTAAAGTTAATGACACTGAACTATAGTCAAACTCACAGCCACTAAAAAGGCACAACTGATTTATAACATACACACACTGCACTGCACACACTCACTAAACAGTCCCTGTATCACTCGTTTCCTACTTTCCTACAGTGACTCCAAAATTAGCTGCAATTTATACACAGACTTCCTTTATTTGTATGTGTATTTATCTTCCGTATATATGCCTGGCATTAAGGTACATTATAATTTTGTGTTTGCAAACGAATATATGTGAGCTGGGATCGTGTGGGTGTGTGCAGCATACTTTGCAAGCGTGTTGACAGAGCGTGCTCTGTGCTGTAACCTGACCTATTTCGACGAGGTAGGATAAGACAGAGTAAACTGTGTTATCAGTCTGTTGAGGTCTACGCAGAGTGACAGAGTTAGTGCTGCAGGGGATGGACCTGTTAAAATTTCACCACAACTGCTTTGGCAACAGAACAGTGGGGTATGGAGTGAAAGATCTGGACGACAGCCAACTGGCTTTACAGAAAAAAAACCCCTGCTAAGTGGAGTTCACTAATGGACTTTGCTCTCATATTTGTTTTTGCTTTGAATAAGGTGTGTGTATATATTTCTTTATGATAGCATTAACTGAAAATGCATTCATGTGTCTAAATTTAAAACATTTACATGCTTACTGTATTTGTGTTCCTGAAATAAATCATGAAGGACATGATATCACCACTGAAAGGTATGTGTGAGGTCTTATGGGGAATTTGGACAAACCGGTGCCTTGACCTTTGGCATTTCTGTGTCAAAATTCCTGAAGAGGAGTGCAAGAGAAGAGGATTGTGGGACATGGTCATGTTTACCTTCCGTGTTCACACCCAGAACAGCAGCTCTGCTCCAGTGGCCCTGAGAAATACTGGCTGTGCAAACTCTCTCTCTCTCTCTCTCTCTCTCTCTCTCTCTCTCTCTCTCTCCTGCACACACACTCACAGCTTAGCCATGTTGTTCTTCTGCTTTCAAAAAACTGAAACCTGAGAGCACAGAGGCAACCGGCCATACCGTTTTTTGTTTGTGCAGCTACTCTGCTTTATTTTTTTTAAGTTAACTTCACTGAATAAATATAACATTCCTTCAAAAGGGGAAACATAAATCAAGCAAAAAACCACCATGACTTTTTTTTTTTTTTTTTTCCCCAGTCCTTGACAAACTTCGAGTTAGACATATATCCTGCCCCCCACAAATATCTAGTGTGACCTTTTTGGAGAAGACCCCTGCCTATGCAACAAGTGTGTGCACACATAGTGCACATTTTGTGAGTGTGCATTTGTGCACACAGAGACTCTGCAGCTCTGTGCAGCAGAGGAAGGAAGTCACAAGATGATGGGGATTTCAAAACTGGGCTGCAGCTGTTGAGGAAGCTTGTGTATTGTACGTTTTCTTTTCTCCTCCCCTCTGCCTGTACTCCACTCTGTTATGTCTCCTCTGATTCGGCTTTAGCGCTCTGCCCAGGCCGAGCCTTTGTGGAGTCACTTTTATTTTCAGCACCTACTGATAATTCATGGGAAAAAAAACAACAGTATGCATGACTGATGCATCTGTGTGTGATCAACTTTATGAATAGCCAATATGGCACACATTTCCAAGCGGTCTGCTACAAGTCAATATTCATCTGGTAAGAAAATGCTTTGTGCAACGTGATTGGTTGGAGAAGGCAGCGCCTCTTTAAAGCCACAAAGGGAGTGGAGCTGAAGGAGAGAGCGCCAGAGGAGAGGAGGAAATTTAGGTGGGTGGGGGAACTCAACACCTCCTGATGGCTGGCTGCAACTGACAAACTCCAGAGGATACCAAGTATAGGGGCATGTCAGGGCAACAACAAACTCTCGAATGGAAAAACACAGCAGTTAGGGGAGAGAAAAAGTTTGGAAAAACAGGACAGAAAGTTTGAAGAAAGAAAAAGAAATTGACAGGGAGAGATTGCAGGAGACATTCAAGGCCAGTTGAGCCGTGTGCCAGTTTGATCTGCAGAGGAGGAGTTTAACTCATGAGCCAAACAGCAGAGACTTAACCCTTTAATCCCACATACAACATCCAAACTCTTGGCTCAACACTGGTTTATACAAGGATCTTACCAGTGGATTAAAACTTGTCAAGGCTGCTAGTTCACTTTCTTACATGTCTCCCAGAATAAAAAAGCCTTTCATTCAATTGTCTCCTCATCTGGGTTACAGTCAAATGATTCCTGGGAACAAAATGTTTATCCTCCAAGCCATTCCCCACAAGCTGCATGAACATTTATGTTTCTATTTCAAAATCCAGAATTACGTTTCAGTCAGAAACATGGCGTGGAAGATCTGTGGAACTGATAGAGAATAAGAGAAGCCTGACACGTTTCCAAACTGCTTGTAGTGTGTCCCTGCATCCAGTGGAGAAAAGGGGGAATGAAAGGGGGAGAGCTGGGGGAGGAGAGGGAAGAGATTTGGTGCGGAGTTGCTGCATGTGGACGCTCCTGTGGTGGGGGTGTGTGACGTGACTCATGAGAGCAAGAACAGACACACTCTACCATATAAACACAAATATATTTGTACATGTAAATAAATGTGTGTTTATTTTATGTGTATGTGTTTACTCGTATATATAGGTCAGTTTGTAGCCACGATCCATGTCAGAGCTTCTCATCTTCTATCCGTGTCAGCTGATTGAACACAACAGTTAACCTTTAACAAACATCTCTTTGAATGCAAAGTGATACTTAATTACTCTGCAGCAGGTGATACTGGTGTCCAATGTGTCTGTTGATATGAGCGTTGGAGACAGACTCCGGGAGCAGGAAGGCAGGGGGGATTTGGGTCAGGGGTCAGGTAGGGGGTTGGGGGTGCTGCGTCCATGTAACGTAACCTCTGGCTGTAAGCAGAAACCTCGTATGACAGGCGGGTCACAGGGCAGCGTTGTTATGACGGTGCACCCAATCAAATGGGCGCCCCGATGAGTAAACACAGCAGTCACAAATCAGTGACATGTCCGTCTGTCTGCCCGTCCCCTTTGGAGAGATTCTCCTCCTCCCAACCATCACACACACACACGCACACACACACACACACAGAAACACACACACACACAAATATATAAATGTGTTTACCTCTTTTGCAGTTGGGGGTGAAGGGTGCCCCTGTCCGTTCTCTCCCCGAAGCGGAGGTGGGTGCAGGGTGATGATGTCATCTTCCTCTGGAGGCTTCCAGATATACTGCTCCCCGTTGCCCATGAACACTGCCTCCTGATAAAAATACAATCAATTGAGCAGGTCAAACAATGTATTTCAAAAAGATCCAGAAGTTTTGGGGAAATGTAACCACATAATGTAAAGCAACATTTTTACATTAGTGGAAAACGGCTTTGTGCTGTTCCAGGCTGTGACTGTGTGTGTGTGTGTGTGTGTGTGTGTGTGTGTGTGTGTGTGTGTGTGCGTGTGTGTGTGTGTCCACGTGTGCGTGTTGGTCCATGTTTGTCCTGAGATTGGGCCATTTTCACTAGGTAAACAGTTACCATGCTCCTCAGTGTGGGCAAAAGTGTTTGTGTGCCCATGAAGGTCATGGGTGTATGACACACTTGCAGTGTGGATCAATGTGGACAGCTTTTCTCAAATGTGGTCAGTCCTGTAGTCATGAAAATCATCCTGCAAAGAGGGTTATGGCCGTAAAAAAAAAATTCTCCTCAAGCTTTTCCAGAAATATGTTTCTTTTCTAAAATATCCACTCATGTTACATCAGGTTATCCACTTCCCTTCATGAATCAAACACACAAATCAGCTAGTGATTCCATAAAAAAAGTGAGTGTTGGAGATGATCCCTGAGTTGGAATCTTTTAAACACAACTATACTCCAAAAAAGCCAAACGTACAACACTACCTTACAGTAATGCTCAGTTTTTTTTAAATTTTCAGCAGAAGTTAATCAGTTCCAACTGCGCACTGTAACCAACAGTTCCACAAGGTTTTATGCAAATCTATTTGGTTAAAAATACCCATATGACAGACTGAGAGACTACACCAGTGACACACAGAGAAGGCTGCTCAGCACAACATGCATCTTATTGAATCAAAGTTCTAGTTGAGAAAATATGTTTCTCTGTTTCTGTCGCCTGCTCAGACTAGAATTGATTTGTTTGAAAAATACTTCATGGATGATTACAATTTACTGTATAATGTATTTGCATTGTATATCTTCTAAGTAGCAGATACTGTATGTGGAAAATAAGGGCAGTCTAAAATAGAAACTGACTTCATATTAAAAAATACCAAAGAAGTTACTGATTTAAATATTTAGCACCCCTGTAGATCTAAAGCAATTAGACACTATTTAGAAACCAATTAAAAAGAAACTATGTTGTGGTGTGTGCACATGCGACCGAGGATGATTAAACTTTTATGTTCTCCTCCTGTGCAGTGAGAGAGAGAGAGTAATAGAAGCCGGGGCAGAGTAAATGGCTTCACTATGGGAACATTATTTATCCCCACTCTGGCTGCTGGCTACCTGTTAGCCATTTCTACCTAGACTTGATAACAGATTCTATGAGAACACACACACACACACACACACACACACACACACACACACACACACACACACACACACACACACACACACACACACACACACACACACAAACACAGGCAGCCAGCCAAACTCTTACATAATCCAATCCTTCCACTCTTCACCCTGGCCACTCTAATGCTGCACAGCGCTGCACAGTGCAAAGGGTGGAAAGAACGCACACACACACACACACGCACACACACACACACACACACACACACACACACACACACACACACACACACACACACACACACACACACAACCAAGGATTTAGCACCAAAGATTAAAAGTGCAAACCAACAACCGGGCAGACATCCACAGCTAAGACAAAACTGTTAATACAACATTATCAATCTTCTTAAATCACAAACACAAAGTCACCTGTTTTATGCACAGCCAAAGACCCACCCACACACACACACAAATACAGCAAACCCATGGGAAAGGCTGATCACCATCCGATCATTGTCGGTCTGCTTCCCTCTCAGGACTGCCCTGATCTGTGGCCTTGACTGTTTAAAACCCTTCCTGGCCTACAAAAATACAAAATACGCCTCGATCATGTGTTAAAAAAAAACTCCTATACAAGACAAACTCTTGAAAACGCAACAATGGTAAGGCCCTACATTTTCTGACAATTGCTGACAATAACTCATTATTACAAAGTACAAGTGTGCTGTCATATCTAAAAGAAGAAATTGAAGAAAATAAAATCAATCCTGGCATTTGAGAGTCTTCAAAGCTGTTTGTTTGTGGACAGTGCCCTCTGGTGGTAAACATACAGAGTTACAGCCTGCTGGGATTAATCAAGAGCATATTGATCCAATGATTCTTGTACCTTCGGGAAGGAGTGAAGGTGAAACGGCTCCAGAGGTTTCCGTGGAAACTCCTGACTGCGGTGTAGCGGAGGAGGACCAGCAGAGGGGGAATCACTCACGCTCGATTGGCTGTCTGACTGGCTGTCGGCCCCGTTATTCTCCTTCCTGTTTGTCTTCTCAACCTTGAGGCATCGAGTCAGACGTGAAAACATTACACACAATGTATTCAGTCAGGAACAAAGGAAAAAGTCTGAATATTTATGTTTACCTGCACTTCTCATGCGTGGCAGAGAAGTTTGTTATGGATGTTATGAGTTGATATTTATTTCATATTCAATACATTTTTCAAGAATTCACCTAACAGTAAATATTAAACAATTCGTGGTGCAATTTCTTCATTTCATCATTTTAAAAGGCAGAGAAAACTAATGTTTCTTCATGTCTCTTTGAAGGTTTTATAAAAACTAAACAGATCTACCCAAATGTAAAACATTCCCCTTCTCTTAATCAACCTTCCTAAGATATAATTAATCTAAAAAATAAGAAAGTCCTAACAGATACATATCCTTTAAACTTAATTACACCATCATTCACTTTATTTTGTTATATCTGCTTGCTTTTAAATGACCTTTGAAAAATGGTGTTGCAATATTTTCCATTTTAACCACAACCCCTTTTTTTAGATCGATATAAAGCACAGCAGCTGCTTTACTGTAACCACCACAGAAACTGTCACATGACATGAGAGATAACCATCGCCAGTCACCTTAGCCCAAGCTCTGGCAATTGAATCTGTCATTTTCTGTTTAATTATGCCATGTGACAGCATACCTGTGGAGGACATTAACTTTTCTTTTTTGTAATAACGGACATAAACACTTGGCTTGACAACAGTCACATGAAGTCTAGGAATTGGTCCAAGGCTGGCTTAGTAAGAAACCCAAACACTCACTCAGCTGAATCAGAAAGCGGAGCATCACTGGGCTTTGATACGTTTTATTTGATACATTTGTCTGTGTACTTTTACCTTTCTGAACTTCCGTATGGAGGCGTACTCAGCTACAGTCGTATCGTGGCTGGTCAGAGAGTTCACCGAAGACATAGGGGACCTGTTGACCCCACTCACACCGTTGGTTCTTCCCGTCATCGGCCCATTTATGGTTCCATTGCCTCTGCCGTTCCCTCTGCCACCCTTTAAGGAGAATAAACAAAGTAAAGCACATATGTACATACTGCCTGAGATGCGAGCGACAAAATAAAGAGTTATAATCCAGAATTACAGATCATTTTGATGCAAAGCCACTCATCAAAACACAATCAAAGAAATCACTTTTCAATAACTTCTTGCAGAGTGTTAAAATGTTTGTATTATTTACACTTCTTTCTCGGCCCTCTTTGGTCAGCGCTGTTTAGCATCTGTTGGACTTCTGTGACCCATTCAGAACATGTCTGTTTGAAAACACTTATCTCTGGTTGGCAAGTCGATCCATGTGTGTGCTCTACTTTCACCAAATCAAAATCTGTGTTTGCATGCACTTACATTCCCATGCCCATTCCCATTGCGAGCGCCGTTGGCCTGAGCTGGGGGGCTTTGGGCAGCTCTGACTGAAGCCGGGGTGCTGTTGCAGGATGTGGATGGCGGGGCAGAGGGAACCTTAGGGCCTGTGTCACCTTCCCGGACACCTACACTTTCATACAGGCCGTCATCCAGGAGGTGGGTGGGTGTAGGGTTGTTCCGTATGCCCACCTCAGTGTAGGTGTGGTCTCTAGCCTCCCCTCCTCCTCCTCCACCTCCTCCTCCTCCTCCTCCCCCATCACCTGCTGACTCCCCTCCTCCCCCCTGGCCAGACCCCTGGGGACTGGTTGGGATCTGGGGAAGCTGGCGCCCATGGGAGGGCCTCAGGTCTGTCTGGGAGCGTCGACTGTGGAGAAGCAGGAGGTCCATGCTGGCTGGGCGGCTTTTGCTAACAGCTGTACATAGAGAAGGGGAGGGCAGCAGCGGGGGTGAGAACTGACATAGTGCGGCAGCTCAGCGTTGTGTAACATAAAATGCCACATTCAAACAAACGTCACTCATCACTTACAGTTTCCATTGCAGGGAAAGCGATTGATCTCATGCAGCCTGGTGTCAGATTTGCTCATGGAGTTCAGTTTTGGATGTCGAAGGGTGCCCTGCTGTCACAGAAGGAGAGGTTAGTATGAGCAGTAAACATGCAAAGACATGTACCTGCATCTGTGTATGGAAGCATGAGTTCCGGGGGGGAAATGAGCAGATAAGATGGGAGACGGCAGGGAGTAAAATGGAAGCATGTCTCACCATATTTACAGATGTCCCTTTCTCTCCGGCTGGGGGGTGCTTGCTCTTGCTTTTTCTGACACAACATCAAAGAGAGGAAGGTCAACATGAGCCGGTGGATACAGAGAAAAACATACACACACTCAGTGCAGAGAGATGCTATCAGCGTCCAACTCTTGCTAGGGCATAAAAGTCCTTGGTTAGTAACAACAGCAGAGTCAAACAGTGAGTGCAGCGTGACTCAGGTTTTATGCCAAAGCGCAGGCTGTCCTTCACTGAGAAACATTTCTTTTGCTAGTTCTTTTCCCAACAAAACCAAGTATTTTTCTTTTCTGAAAGCCAATTCCCGTTGCCATCTAACTTCACCACCCTCTGGTATCAATCTTGCGCAACAAATGTATACAGAGTAGTGTTACGCTTCCTTGTGGATCCCTGGAGATGGTAGCTATAGGAAACTGTTGACACGGTAAAGGAGAGAGAGCGAGGAGATGAAATAAGAATACAAAAGCTCCTGGGTGCAGGTGTGAATGTGAGAACTCTTCTACCCCCATCCCTTTTTTTTCCCTCACCTCCTAGGATGAGGATCTGCATCTAATTTGATGTGAGATCTTACTGCTGCATTGCAAAACACAAAAGAGGCAAAAAATAGCATTTTTCAAGCTGGCAAAGTGGTGCAGGAATCCTTTCTGTATCATCTAATTTGACAAAGTGCTAGAAGTATGGCTGAACATAAAAAGGTACCACAGTCAGTACTGTCAGAGCCATGTTACTGGAGCAACATATTGCATCCCCCAGTAAGCTACAACTCAATCCTGTTCCTACAAACATATGGCCAGCGTAACCCAAAGGGAGTAAGAGAAGGTGACGATATCTCCCCTTGGAGTTGACGCAATAACATGGAACAAGAATGCTTTAATGTAGAAATGTCATGAAGGCTTAAAGACGTAAAAAGAATGACTTATTATTTGTCAGTTTTCAGATTAAGATCTTAGAATCTACTACCGTAAACCTTAGAATACAAAAGAAGCAGAGCAGGATTGATTTATCTTCAGGTCAATAAAAAGAAAAAATCAATATTGCTAGGTCTCTCTTTTCCAGGGAGTGTTGTATTTGTACATGACAAAGTGAATTAGAACAACTGAGCACATATTTCATCTCTCGATCTTAACAAAGCGACATTGTATTTCCATGACATGAGCTGCTTTGACATTTCTCTACATCGTTATCTGTGTGTCCCATGGCAACAAAGCCACAGTGCAGCCTCTGATTGGTCCCTTAGGATTTTGAAAAAAAAAAAAAAAAAAAAAAAAGAGAAAAGAATGCTGCTCCATTGCTCTCGCCTGGCTCAGAGTCTGATCCTCTTTAAACCGCAGGGTGCTCGATTGCTTTTGCCTTTTCCCGAGGAAGTCCGCTACAGAGGGGGAATGACGCGAGGCTGCTCTGACTCTGGCCTGTCTCCTCGATGTCCCGTAAACATCATTTCATCTGATCTGACACTCAAAGCCATTAACATTCATTACTGCCACTCTACTCGGGGCAGGGGATAAAAGAGACGGAGAGGACGGGACAGAGGGACGGAGGGATGTGAGGAAGGAGGAGAAGAGTTCAGAGGAAGTAGGGGCACATAAAAGGAGGAGTGGATGATGAGAGTGATCTGAGAGGGCATGAAAGTCTGCTTAATTTGGTTGTCTCTTTCTTTTTTTTTGTAGGCCCCCCTCCCCTCCCCCCCCCCCCCCCCCACAATCAAGTCATGTGACCGTCCTCTTACCTTTGGCAGCCAACACAGACGAGGACGATCAGGATGGTGACCACGAAGGCGGATGCTGCTGCGATGGCGCCCAAGAGCAGCAGGTTTTGGTAGGTAGGGTCGACATCTGCCCCTTGACCGAGATCCATGACACCCGCTCCCTCTCGCTCACTCACTCACTGCCACACGAGCTCAAACTCCGCCACGCAGACCGTCTGCACAGAAACACCTGCAGAGACACAAGGTAAAAATGAAAACAAAAAAAAAAAAGACATATGAGTGACATGAGATATAAGAAGAAACCAACCAAAATGCTGCAGAAAGTGGGATGAATTTCAGTGTGTGTTTGTGTGCGTAGTTAGTTTGCCTCTGGCTTTTTGTCAGCTTCTCGTTCTGACATATCGGTTTCTATTTTTGACTCATTAGAAGCAGAATAATGCACGGAAAATAGAACACCTTGCAAGGCAGCCGGTACGAGCGAGCCAAAAGAAAAGGTTTCATCACACTCGCTCTTTTTGTTGTTAAAAAAAGATCAAATGATACCGGAACATTCACTTGACTAGCCAGAGAGACTCTTGTGTTAGTGTAACTGGAAGAACCAACTGAGCTCCCCAGAGTAGTGTCTGACTGACAGAGAGACCAGATCATCCACTGTCACACTTCATTTCCTGGCAGAGCACGTTCGTTTTTCTCTGATCAGCAGGGGCTCAAACACTCTCAACAAGGTTTTCAAGTTTTTTAAACAGTGGTGTATATTATCGTTGGTGTGGTAGCGCTTTTACCTTTTTCCAGTCTTAAGTTCTACTAGTCTCTCTCACATATCTCTGATACATGGAGGCTTACTAACCCTCAACAACCACCCACTGCATACACATGCACACACTGAGTCCGTGCCAGACAAAAATCATCTTTGAGGAGAAAGTATCTACACCGTTTCATTTAGTTTAGACGGAATCATTTAAAGTTTTTTCTTTCTTTGGCTCAGTTTGAAATCATTGTGATAATAAAAATTGTGCAAGGTTCTGCGAAAACCCTGTAGGCTGTTATGATGAGTCAGTGCCAGGGGTGTAAGAATAACTGAGTATATAAAACATGAAACTGTTCCTTAATACAACTTGAGAGTATTGTCTGTTTTTCACTGAGTACTTTTCTCTCCCCTACATACCAGACAGGGGGGAAAAAAGTATGTACACACTCAAGTACAATGAGGAAAATAAGGTTTATTGTGCAACATATTCAGAAATATGTGTTCTTTGATTTTTCTAAATTTAGTTTGACTTTCTTTCACAAAGTAAAAGGAGTTTATTTTTCATTGTTTGAACTGTGTACATCATTGGCTTCTTTATGTGTACTATTGACAAATAACAGGAGGAAACACGGTGTTACAGCCAAAATATAACCCCCCCCCTTTTCATTTTTTTTGCATTAAAACATAAATAATTGACATGACAAGCATTAAAGGTCACATATTATACTCCCTTTTCAACACGTTTTTACAGGTCTCAGAGATCCCAAAAACATGTCTGTGAAGTTTCCTGCTGAAAATCCACTCCGATCCTGTATTTGATCATGCCTATAAACACCTCTATTTCAGCCCTGCTCAGAACAGGCTGTTTCTGTGTCTGTACCTTTAAATGCAAATGAGCTGTTTGGCCACGCCCCTCTCTGGAAGGGGACGTGGCTCGGGCTTTCTTGCACCATGCCCGATTGTTTATGGTGGAAAGGCAGATTCAGATGGCAGAATAAACATCTAGTTGTGGGAGTGTCACCCAACTGGGGGGAGGGGTTACTGCCCTTGACTGTGATGTCACAAAGGGAAAATCTCCAATCTGCCTGTTTGAGCACACGTCTTCTGAAAAGTGGAGCAGGCAAAAGACGGAGAGAATTTCTCATAATTAGGTGGTTTGTAGACAGACTAGGGACACGTTAGTGTTTGACAAACATGTTTAACTGTATTTTGTATAATATGTGACCGTTTAGAGGTGTGAAAGTCAGTAAGTTAGTTGTGAAGGGGGAGTTATGTAATTAAAAAACACAAATCCTTTATATATGAAGCCCTGATTTTCTTACATTTCTATAGGCATAGAAAGGAGCAGAATGAGAGTTACACAAGCGGTTAATACAAATGATGAGAAATATATGATTCAACTAACTAACCCATGCTTGTCAGATGAGTTCACACACTACTGTTTGTATATTTTTTTCTTCAGATCATTTGTGATCAGATACTTTGTGCCAAGGTCCTTGTTGAGTTCAATCTAAACATCTATGTGTCTTATAAAGGTGGTATTATTCAAGTCAGTTAATAACCTAGTTTAGCAAGCTGGAGTTTGACCTGGGTGAACATATTTAGTAACAATGACTCTCCATATAAGAACTAGCTGTGTGGTGCAACCTCTTCTAATTTACTGATGCAAAAATCTCATCATACAGTATTCATATGAAGACACCCACATTTTCTGTAGGCTGAGGCTGAACTTACCAAAAAGCTGGTGCAACTGACTCCTGAGACTGGCCTCAGGGAAACGTTGCTTAATCGAACAATAGGTTCAGTTTAAGGTTAAAACATTTCAACTGTAATTGTGTTATCATCACGAGACATTCTGGAGCATCGGTGAATACCTTCACGCACCGCCCTGCACATTCCCCTGGCACACAGCAACAAGCACACTAATGCAGACTCTACATATGCCGTGCATTCCTCTATAAACAGAGACAATGTGGATAAAGTATTCAAAAAGACCGGGAAGCTGAAAATCGCAGATCCAAATGACAAAGCAAGCACTGAGCAGAAGGAGGTCATGGCAAGCTCCTGTGTATGTTGTGTGTGCGTGAGAGTGAGACATTGTGGAATACACCACCACAGGATCTGGCTCTGGCTTTCTGTTTCTTGGAGATAAAACAGCGTCTTTTTTTTTTTTTTTCTTTCTTCTATGTCCTCTTTTTTTCTAGGTCCCTCTCTCCCTCTCTCTTCCTCCAGATCTCCCCTACTCCTCCTCCTCCTCTCTCCTCCTCTCTTTCCTTCCTCGCTCTCACTCTTTCTTGCTGTCTGTCTGCCTGACCCTGCAGATATGTGAGGCAATGCACAGCGAATGAATTAGCAGAGCTGAGGCCTCAGACAGCAGGCAGCGAGGCAGGCGGGAAAAAAAGCGAGAGAGAGAGAGTGAGAGAGGATGAATGAAAGGGTGAGGTAAGAGAAAGGTGATGAGACACGGGAGCAAATGAGTGGGATAAAAGGACGGACAGGTGGGTGGAAGATGCAAGGAACTCTGGGTGGGAGGGGGTGACAAAAGAGGGGGTGACAAAAGAGGGGGTGCACACGAAGTAGGAACGTGAAGGAGAGGGTGTTATAAACAGCGGGGGAAGGAAGAGAGAGGAGAGTGATGAGACGGGGAAGATGAAGACAGTGAGAGAAATAGCGGGGAAGCCTGGCAGAATTTGCGATGAGCATTGGGGGGGGGGGGGGAGAGAGAAAAAGCGAGAGAAAGAGGAAGGAAAAAGAGGAGGCGATGAGAAGGAGGTCATCAGCAGTCTGTTTCTGCCTGCATTTTGTCAGCCCTCTTCTGCAATATTCAGAGGAGAAACACATACAAGGGGGTGCGTTTGGGGACGCAACACAATAGCAGGATGCGAGCACATGTCTCGCAGTGTATTTAACAGTAATGTGAAGCGCACAAGTGGCAGACGAGACTCGGGAGGAGGAGAGGCAGTTTCTGTGCGACGCCCCTGCAGCAGGCTCGATCAACGACGCACAAAAGAAGAAGTACTCCTGCATCTGTCTTCATTCCATGAGTAAAAATGATGACAGAGATAATAATAACAGCGTACTGAGAATGATAACGATGGTTGTGATAGCCCCATTCATGGACGCTGCTGGCGATGACTATCTTGAAGACGTAGGTGATGATGATGACGAAGGGTGCAGAGACTAATATGGTGGTAATGATGGTGGTAATGAGGTCAAACTGAGAGCTGCAAAGACGCGTCGAGGGGCGGATGCAAACAGCCGAGCTGGCAAAGGCAGCGAGCAGGATGCAGCGGTGCAGCGCGACCACAGGGTGGAAGGTTTCCTCTGTGTCTCTGAGATCACACACACACACACACACACACACACACAAACAGCTCCAAAGAGCAAAACACAGGCACACACACACCAGCAGAACAAAAAAAAAAAAAAAAAAAAAGATTGTAGCGCACAGAATCTAACTTCAGTCGCTTTGCACATTTCCTTTTTCTTTAAGTGATGTTCTGTTTAACCTTAAGATGTGAAACTGGGGTCTAACAGTTTCTGCAGCCTCTTTGTTACACAGTATCAACTCAACAAAGGCTAATTGTACTTTCCACTCTGAATTCTGCTTAAAATAGACTGTGGCAAAGAAAATCAGCTACATTTTCATGTGCCCTAAAAACAGTTTTTCCAGCCACTAAGAGGTTTATGTGCTTAATTTCAAGCTCTTGGCTTAAACAGACCCCATTTCATATTCATTCTGTGTGCCTTTAACTATTTTTAAAGATTGTGTGTATCACTCACAATAAAAGAAAAATGGAAACAATTGTCTGTTGACTGCGTTTATCAGACCCTGATAAGATAAAGCTGCTCCTCTTGTGCACATGGATGAATGTAGCCGTGTTTTTTATGTGTGTTTTAAGGTGTCATCTGTTTAATTAGATATTTAAATGAGTAATTAATTACCAAGAGGCTTCTTTGAGCACAGTGCTTCTCTCTGTGAAATCACCTTCTCCCTTTTGCGCTCTTGGATCCCAGCTCTACCTCAAAAGTGGGGCACTTTTCTTCGGTTTAAAAATAAGCGTAACCTGATTTCAGTTACAATTCAGGGCTGACGTTTACATTTACAGTTACATTCTGAATTACATCACGAGTCGTTATGAATTATTAATGCTTTCAGTAGACGGGGAGATGTTGGTTCAGCTTTCTGTGCAGGATGGCTTTTTCACCGAGAGAGCAGAATGACTCGATAGAAGCGACTTCAATAAACAACAGAGCCAAACACAGAACAAAGCACAGACTGGACAGCTTTCAGGAGGCCGAGTATATAAAGTATATTAAGGTTAACCTCAGCGTTTCTCAGGTGATTCCCTACAGTCATCTAAAATTAAAGAAATCTGTTCAGCTCATCGGTTCAGCCGCTCTTCACAGTCTTGTTCACTTTAAGGCCCTCTCTCTCTGACAACAATCCACCGCTGATCGACAAACTGCTACTCAGAGCT